CCCTCCCAGTTTTGCTAAACACAAGCAATCAACACATCTACATCATGTCTGGACGCGGAAAGGGAGGCAAGGGACTCGGCAAGGGCGGCGCCAAGCGCCACCGCAAGGTGTTGCGCGACAACATCCAGGGCATCACGAAGCCCGCGATCCGCCGCCTGGCTCGCCGCGGCGGCGTCAAGCGCATCAGCGGCCTCATCTACGAGGAGACCCGCGGTGTCCTCAAGGTCTTCCTCGAGAACGTCATCCGCGACTCCGTCACGTACACGGAGCACGCCCGCCGCAAGACGGTCACGGCCATGGACGTCGTCTACGCGCTCAAGCGCCAGGGCCGCACGCTCTACGGCTTCGGCGGGTAAATCTTCCCGCTGAGCCCGGGCGCCTCGACACCAAGACCAAGACCCGCCGGGCCGCCCACTCACACAACCACACCGGTGTTTTCGAACACCACCCTTTCGGAGGAAGACTTTCGCGGACCGCGGCCGGCGCTTCGAACATTCGCTCGCGGCGCGCCTCGCGCTTCGCGCTCGTTCGATCGACGGGGCCGCGCCGCTCGCGGGGTTCGAAGTCGGGGGCGTTAAGAACTAAGCCATAGTGCGCTGGTAGGAGGTTAGGGAGAGCTAGGAGGCATGCTCGTCGTCGCCATCGGCACGTTCCTCAAGCTGCTCGCGACGGTCGCGGCCGCGGGCCGCCGCCGCCGCCGGGCCTACGCGCCCATCCCCGCGGGTGACGACGGGGACGCTTAAAGAGCGCGGCCTAGAAGTCGGGGCGGAAGGCGAGGACGCGGGGGAAGACGTCGTTGGGGAGCTCGACGAAGACGCGCTCGTAGAGGCGCTCGCCGGACTCGGCGACGGCGCCGGGCGCGCGGAGCTCGCGGCGGAGCTCGAGGAACTGCGCGGTGCAGTAGGGGCGCTGCGCGGTGCAGTAGGGGCGCCAGCCGCCCGCCGCGCGGACCGCGGCGAGAAGGTCGGCCGTGGCCCTGCAGTGGCGGCCGCAGCGTCGCGCGTAGGCCTTGGGGTCGTCGCCGTCGTTGGCGCGCGCGTCGAGCGACGCGCCGCGACTCAGGAGGAGCTTGCACATGTCGGTGTATCCGCGATAGGCAGCCCGGTGCAGCGCGATCTCTCCGTAGCGGTTGCGATCACCGACTCGCGCGCCCGCGTCGAGCAGGAGGACCGCTGCATCGCAATGGCGGTAGTCAGCGGCGCCGTGCAGCGGCGTCCAACCACCACCGGGCATGCCAACGTGGACATCGGCGCCGCGCTTGAGGAGCCACGTGATGGCCGAGCACCAGCCCTCTCGCGCTGCGTACCACAGGCACGTATAATAACCTGCACGCTCCTCGACGCGCGCCGCCGCCCACGCAATACACACGAACGAGCGCGTCAACGCTGCGACCCGAGGCAACATGGCGCTGCGCCTCCGCCAGGAACGAGCGCTCGCGGGCGTTCATCTCGAGGGCCTTGACCTGCGACGTCTTCTTCGGGGCTGCTGCGCGGCAAACAAATGAACACGTTGAACCCCTCGGGCCGCCGTACTTTACAGGTCCCCCCTCGCCTCGAGGAGCTCGAGGACGCCGAGGGCGTCGTGGCGGCGCTGCGCGTCGGCGACGTCGAGGTCGCCCGCGGCGTCGTAGAGCCGCCGGACCTGGCGGATGTTGAGCTCGCACTCGCGGACGGGGTCCTCGTTGCGCGGGAACGTGTCGAAGTAGACGTGGCCGGCGAAGCGGGCCCTGCGGAGCCAGTAGACGACCTCGCGCGCGGCGAGCGCGTGCACGAATTGTCGGAATTTAGACGAATTTAGACGAGGCCCCTCTGAACTCGTCGAGTCAGACGAGGGGGTGTCCTTACGCTCAGTAGAGGGGTCGCGGGCGCTGCGCCAGAACTGGATGATGTGGCCGAAGGCCTCCTGCGGGGTCGAGGCGGGCGCGCTGCGGAGGGACGCGCGGCGCTCGGTCTCGCGCGGGAAGAGGAGCGTCTCGGAACTGGAGCAGTAGCGGACAGAGGAACCAGCGAACAAGGAGAATCTTCGAAGAAAGGGTGGTGTTCGAAAACACCGGTGGGGTTTGTGTGAGTGGCGCCGCGGCGCCGGCCGTGCGCGCGACTTATCGGACGATCGAGCGCGAGCCGTTCGACCGGGCCGCGACGAGCGTGGTCGCTTAGGCGGACGCCTTGGATTTGCTCTTCTTGGGGAGGAGCACGGCGTGGATGTTCGGGAGCACGCCGCCGGACGCGATCGTGACCGTGCCGAGGAGCTTGTTGAGCTCCTCGTCGTTGCGGACCGCGAGCTGGATGTGGCGCGGGATGATGCGCGCCTTCTTGTTGTCGCGCGCGGCGTTGCCCGCGAGCTCGAGGATCTCCGCGCAGAGGTACTCGAGGACGGCGCCCATGTAGACGCCGGCGCCGACGCCGACGCGCGTCGCGTACTTGCCCTTCTTCAGGAAGCGGTTCAGGCGCGCGACCGGGAACTGGAGCCCGGCCTTGGCCGCCTTGGAGGTGCCCTTGCCACCGGCACCGGTCTTGCCCTTGCCGCGGCCGCCCTTTCCTTTGCCAGACATGATTGAGTGTGTGTGTGTGTGTGTGTTTGGGATGTGCTGAGGAGAGCGCTCGACGCCGAGACGGACTTGGGATTCCGGGGCGGAAGCGCGCCGGGTAACGGCGTCCGACCAATCAGAAACGCGGGCTGGCTCGCTCGCGCCCCGGAAAAACAAGAGCTCGGCGCCGCGGTTGGACGTCCTCAGCAAAACCAAACACACTCGCAATCACCATGGCCAAGACTCCCTCCAAGAAATCCGCCAAGGCGCCCAAGAAGGCCGCCGGCGGCAAGAAGAAGAAGACGCGCGTCGAGTCGTACTCCACGTACATCTACCGCGTGCTCAAGCAGGTGCACCCCGACACGGGCATCTCCAAGAAGGGCATGTCGATCATGAACTCGTTCATCAACGACATCTTCGAGCGCATCGCCCTCGAGGCCTCCAAGCTCTGCCGCTTCTCCAAGAAGGCGACGCTCTCGTCCCGCGAGATCCAGACCGCGGTCCGCCTCATGCTCCCCGGCGAGCTCTCGAAGCACGCCGTCTCCGAGGGCACCAAGGCCGTCACCAAGTTCTCCAGCTCCTAGAGCGCGGATCGGACCTCGACGCTGCCACCAGCACACATCCACACCGGTGTTTTCGAACACCACCCTTTTGGAGGAAGAATCTGCGGAAACGCGGGCGCCGCGGAGCCGCGGAGCGCCGCGCTTCCCTTCGTTCGACGCCTCGCGCCGCGCTTCCCTTCGTTCGA